ATCATAAAGTAAAGGAGTTTGGTCAAAATGATAAAGTTTTAATGGCTATTTTAGCCAAGGGCTCACATACGTCGTACGTACATACGTACGTAAGTACATACATACATTATACATGCATACATACATAATAATAATAGAAATTAGAATAATGTTTTAACACTTATAAAGTATAGGATAGGATTGGTTCAACATGGCTTGCAGACAAATAATAATTAATAAATTATTGTATTTTTTAAATAAAAAGTGCTGAATATTTTAATAAAGAATCGTTTATCGATAAAACTGCAAAAATTTTTTACAAACGATAAATTAATTAATGCATTTAAGTTGTTCGGAAATAATTTGGAATTATTAAAACTTGATAAAACTGAAAAATTTTGTCGCGTTGAGCTTCGAAAAAAGAAAAGTTATTAGATTGTATTTCTTTTATTAAATACTCTTTGAATAACAATTTGATAGATAAATTTACTATATTTGTAAGTTTAAATTCCAGCAAAATTCTTAAAAATGAAATAATGGACATGTTTTCCAAAAAACAGGTGCATATGTCTGAATTAATTGGATGAAATACCAGCAAAATTTCTACTGTGAAAACAATTTTAAATAAATTTGTTCATAAAAAAGGCTGTACACTCGCTGTAAAAACTCAATTAAACAATAACATTGTTAACAATGTTACAAAAGAAATTTCAAACGAACCGAAATGGTTGGACGTTGTAGTTACTCCAACTGAGTAAGTTCCGTTTACTCTGGTCTCAAAAACAAAAAACGACCAAGACTTGTCGAAGTTAGCCCTCCAACCGTTGACCAACTTTCGACTAAAAACATCACTGACGTCTCCAAAGCAACAGCACCAAAAAAGACAACAAAAATAATCGGCGACAAAATCTCTGAAAATTGCAACTTGAAAGCAGACAAACCAATTAAAAAAGCAGTTTTTTAATGGGCAACATCAGCAGATGTCACAGAAACCATGTGTTTGAATTCTTGACCGTATTATCATGTTTTCCTGTCTTAAGAAAATCAGACGCTCCCAAAGACGACAATATAAACAGGAATGATATTGAATCTAACATGCTTCGCGTTTGCGTTGAAAGAATAGATGCAGCGAAAATAAAAACCCCGAGATTATTCCACAACGTATAGTACCTGAGTGAAAGAATGACCAGGATAAAAATAAAAATAAATGATATAAAATTTTTTCACAACCAGTTTCTGAACAATAACTTGAATGATGTTAGTAATAAGTCTGCTGATCCTGAAATTAACAATGTTTTTAATTCTTGTGGTTATTACAGTTTTAATTTATTAAATATCAATACTATTAATTGTTGCTATGCTGAAGAACAACAAAAATAAAATTTTCACTGTTAAATTTGGATGCTAGAAGTTTTTTTTTAAATTATGAAACTTTTCATAGTTCTTTCCCTTTTCACCGGGATTGTAGTTTAAAAGACGTGGCTGAATGATCAGAGGGATCCAACAACATGTTTTTCAAATCATAGGGCTCCTTTCTGTCTCGAAAGACAATGGATGCGTCAGCAGTATTACACTTTATGATTCCTCTTCATTTATTGCATGATCTTCTGTGACTGTACAGACGAATCCTTGTGTTACAAACTCTATCACAGGTTGGACAACAATAGAAATCTTCTGAAGAATGGACAGATGGCGGTGCTTTTCTTCTTTGTCTCTATGCTGTTCGATCTTAGGCAATCTCACAGGTCTTCGTTATTGTCTGAAAACCTGATGTCTCGCTTGCAGACATCTCTGTAGGTTAATTTTGGATGACCGATTGTTTTTTCACCCTTGACCAGCTTGGCATATATGGTATCTTTAGGAATTTTTCTATTTGACATACGGTATACATGTCCGAGCCAGCTTAGTCTTCTCTACGTCAGAAGAGCATAGATGCTGCACATATTGGTTTTTTAACACTTTCTGATTTGACACACGATTTTTCTATGCGATGCGCATGCGTAGCAGACAGCGCATGTAAAAACTATTCAATCTATGCTCTTGATAATATTTAAGTTGACCAACTCTCACAATAATAGAGCAAAGTACTCAAAAGACATGTGCTGTAGACAAATATTTTGATAGCTGTAGTAATTTTAGTATTTTCCCAAAAACAATTGGCGAGTTTTGCCACGAATCCTGAGGTCTTTGTAATTCATCTTGGAAACTCGAAACCCTATGTTCAGATTTAAGTTGCTTGTAATTGTTGACCCAAGATAAGTAAATTGATTTACGACATTAAAAGTGTATGATCACTTATGTTGATTACCGGTAATTTGTTTCTACCTTGGGCAAGTATTTCGGTTTTGGTAAGACTTATGGCAAACCCAAATCCTAGACACGCATTTGCCAAGGTGGTTTTGTAATTTGGGTGGTTTCTTGTTTTTTGCTTCTGAACAGGTGAGTTCTTTTCTTTTTTACTATGATTATTTTTTTCTTATTCTAGAGACTTTCTTTTAAGCCTCTCTAATATTTCTTTGTCTCCGACGAGAGTAGTTCGGCAGCAAATCTTTTACTTTAATCTTAAAGCTAATAATAATTGAAATAAATCTAACTCTAACACGAAAAACAAAAAAATAAATATAGTTTGTAACAATAATAATACTAATAGCAAACATAATAAATTTAATAAATCCTACTCTAATGTAATTAATACTAATGATAAGAATATCAATTCTATTAATTTAAATAATATAGCTAGATTTAAAGGTAACAATATTCAACCTATTTCTACATTTTCACTATTTAATATTAACATAAGATCTTTTAATCGCTCTATATTCAGCAAACAATCTCTTCCTCCTTACCCGATGTTTTAGTCTTACTGAAACTTGACACGAAGACTATAATTCTCCCTCTCGTATTCTTGCTATTCCTAATGGTTACAACTTTCTTGAAATCTCTAGACCTCCAAAAGATCTTCTCTCATCTTCTCGTTCTTCTTATGGGGATGTCTGTTGATTCTATAAATCTCTATTTATTGCTTCCATTAATATTTTCTTTAATGTTTTTTCTTTTGAATTTTTTTTAATTGAATTTTTTTTCGTCTTGTTGTACCCTTTAAGTCTTCTTCTCTATCTTTTTATATTGTTGTAATCTATCGACCTCCTTCTTCTTCTCTCTTTACATTTTTAGATGAATTTTACTGACTCGCTGAATCTCTCTACTCTTTATCTATTCCTTTCAATATCTCCGGTGACTTCAACTTGCACTTCAATAATTTATCTTGTTCTTACACCCGAAGATTTAATGATATTTTGTCTCTTTTTAATTTAACACAATATTGTTCTTTTTCTACTCATACTTCTGATAACACTATTAATTTTATTATAGCTTCATCTTTTTCTAAGCCTATTAATATCTCTGCTAGCTCTGTTTCTTATTCTGATCATCTCCTTATTGAATCTGTATTTTCATTAGATTTTCTTCCTTCTAATTCATCTATGTCTATTTTTAAAAGATGCTGGTTTTTTCTTAATAAAGATATTTTTCTTCAATCTCTTATTGAAACTATTTTTGATACTTCTTTATTTTCTGAGATGTTGACGATTTTGTCTGTGCTTTTAATATCTACATTACTTCTATTCTTGATAAGCTTACTCTTCTTAAATCTTTTACTTATAGGCTCTATTCTCGTAAGGCTCCTTAGTTCGACTATGCTTGTGTATTAGCTAAGAAAAGTGTTAAAAGACTGGAGAAAGCCTATAGGTTAAATCCATCTAGCTTTCTTTATTCTATCTATGAATCTGAATTGATTGATTATAAATATCTACTATTTTCTAAACACTCTACTTTTCATAAAAATTCTATAATATCTGCTTCAACATTTAAAAATAGGTGGTTTGTTTTTTCTACTCAACAATTTCATGACTTTTTTAAATAAAATTAATTCTTTAAGAACATTTAATTCTAATTTTTCTCCTCGTAACTTTACTAAACTTACTACTGAATCTTTCTCTGAATCATTTAAATCTTCTAGAACTTACTAAAATTATTAATTCTATGTCATCTTATCATTCTCAAATTAGTTAATTTATCTCTTTCCACCTCTAAACTTTCTACTTTTTATAAGAATTCTATCGTTATTCTTATTCTTAAAAACTCGTCTTTAGATCCTTCCTCTTTTTCTAATTATAGACCTGTTACTAATATTACTTTCATCTCTAAAATAATAAAAAAAAAGTAGTTTATAATCAATTATCATCTTATTTAAACTCTAACTCCTTGCTACCTGTATCTCAACCTGGTTTCAGACCTGCTCGCAGTACTGAAACTTTTTTACTCAAAATACATAATGATATCCTTCTCTCTAGTGACAATAGTAATTTTACTTTTCTTTTTGCTCATAACTTTACCTCTGCTTTTGATACTGTTGATCATACTATTCCCTTAATATTACTGAATCTTGTCTATCTTGGTTTTTTTCTTATCTCTGTAATCGCTTTTCTTCTGTTGTTCTCAATAATTCTACTTCTAAATCCTCTACTCTTACTTTCGGGTACTTCAAGGTTCTATTCTTGGCCCTCTTCTATTTATACCCTATATTTCTGAACTACCTCGTATTATTATTAATTTTTCTTTCACTAGTAAACTATATGCTCATGATTCTTATATTTATACTTCTTTTCCTTCATCTAATCTCAATAGTGTTCTTCATAATCTAACTCTATGCCTTTCTTCAATTATCGCTTGGTCTGATTCTCTGTGTCTTAAACTTAATCTTTCTAAATTTGAATTAATTTGTTTTAATAAATCTAAACACTTTATTACTATTTCTCCTATTATCTTACCTGATTCTAAAACTCTTGATGTCTCTCACAAGTTTCGTAGTCTAGGTTTTATCTTTGATTCTACTATATCTCATTTTTCTCAGATTAATAGTGTTGATAGAAGTTCTTACTTTCATCTACGTAGAATGAAAAAACATTAGCCTTTTCTTGACGATCCTACTCTTTTCCTTCTTGTTATTTCGTTAGCCTTATCTAGGATAGATAACTCTGCTGCTCGTCTAGTTGCTGATGCCCCTTTCTTTTCTCATATATCTCCATATCTTGTTCTCTTGCACTGGCTACCTATAAAATATAGAATAATTTTTAAAATTTGCACGTTTATGTATAAGTCTCAATTTAAATTATTTCCTAAGTATTTATCAGATATATTAATTGAACCTAAACACCCCGGATTTTGATCGTCTTTTTGTTCTCGCTTCTTCTTAACTCGTGTTAAACACTCTTTTGCCAAACCTGCTTTTGCTTTTTCTGGTCCTTCTCTCTGGAACTCTCTACCTATTTCTCTGACTACTTTTTCATCACTTGCGAAGTTCAGAGCGGATCTCAAGACCCATCTGTTTTCAAAATTCATTGAGGAGCGCTGTTGAACATCGCGGAAATAGCGCTTTATAAGCTAATTGATTGATTGATTGATAGTTGGCAAACCTTGAAGTTTTGACAACGCAGCTGCGGCAACAACACTTTTTGTTTGATAGAGTTCTACATAATGTTTAGCCTATCTTGCTATTTGAGATGCACGGTCTTTAAAAATAATACCATCTTTTGACGATTGGTCCAAAAGCTTTCCTCAACAATCCCTTTGCATTACCAGAATTAGCACAAATTTAATATTTTTACAAAGATCTCGCTAATATCTATTCACAATGTTTTCTACATTGAATATTTCAACCGCAGTGGAACTGTGGGTGGCGGAGTGGAAATATATGTAAATAAAAATTTATGAAAATTGCGAAACAGACAAAATTGAAACTGAATCGTTGGAAGTTATTTCTCTCAAAATACACTTAAACAGCAAAGTTTGAAGATTATTGCTCTATGCAGACCATATAATATAAATTTAACATATTTTTAGTAAGCTTCGATATTTTATTGAAAAGTAGTAATTTCCCTACTTGTGTGGCAGGTGATTTTAACATTGATTTTAACAGTAGTTTCAACAATTGTTTATTATTTGAAAATATTTTCTCTAATTAAAATTTTCATCCACTAATTACTTTATCTACAAGAATGTCAACAAATTCAGAATCCTGCTTTGAAAACATTTTAACCAATGTGTATGACTTCACAAGAGCGGAGTAGTTATTGTAGATCTTTTGGACCATTTTCCAATTTTTTCGTTATCACAAAAAATTAACTATTGATGTAAAAAAAATCAGTGACTCTCCGGAGTGTTTCAAAAAAGCGATTGATTTATAAAATTTGTTTGAGATAAATTGGAATTTTGTTCTTAATCATTTGAAGGAGAAAATGCATAACATTATTATATATCAGCTGGAGGAATGTAAAGACAATGATAAGGTTATTTGCAACAGACATGATAGAAAGCAGATTTTAGAAATATGTTCTCAGTTATCTGATGGTTACATTAAAGAGAGCAGCATAAAGTCTATCTTTAGACTTGGTGTAAGAAGTGATAAGGTTAGACCAGTCATTGTTAAATTTTATGACAAAAGAAATAGAAATATTGTCAGGGAAAACCTTAAGAAAATTAAAGGATTGAGCAGTAGTTTGAGGTGCATTGGAGTTAATTATGACCTAAACAAAAAGCAGCGGGAAAAAAGGAAAGAGTTGGTCATAGAAGCTAAAAAGTTGCAAGCTGATAGTAACGGGGGAATTCCAGTTTCTGGTAAAGAGAACTCTTACAAATATGAGTTGTAAAAATAAAAATTATTTAAGTTTGGTAGGTGTTGATGTTAATATTTATTATTAAAATGTGGATTGTATCACAAACAAAAATGAATGAAATTAAATATTGGCTGGATGGTTGTAATAATTTGAGTGATATTATTGTTTTTACTGAGACAAATGCATAACATATTATTCATAATTATTCAGAAAATGAATTTTATTTAAAAGGTTACAAACTTTATACAGCAAATTTCATGAAAGCAAGTTAGAAGGGAATTTACTGCTACAATCAATCAATCAACCTTCGTTTTGCGATTAGTTGTATTCATTTCATTTAAATTTAGAGCTTTCATGTCTTGCTCGATTGTTTGCGACCAGGACTTCTTTGGACAGCCTTTGGGACGTGTGTCAGGTACTTCAACATCTGCAAGAGAAGTTATGGCACTGTTTCCACTTCGTTTGACATGACCAAACCACCGCCACTGTTGCCGGCATTCGTCCCCTATATCATCTAAGCCAGAACGACGCATGATTTTGGTAGATTTGATGTGGCCCTTCAGACTAATTCGTTGCATCCATCGGAGCATTTTCATGTCGGTTCGTTGTTGTTCCAGTTTGGTTGTCATTGGCCATGTTTCTGCACCATATAACAACACCGGACGTATCACAGATTTATAAAGTCTTGATTGTAGTGGTAGTGGGATGTCACACCGCATCAATATAGAGGCAAGGAGATGCCATTTATTCCAGGCTCGAACAGCAGCTTCAGCTGTTCCATTACAATCTAGAACATCTCCTGGATAATGAAACGATGTGACTTTCTCTACCTCAATGGCCTAAAAATATTGCTATTTCGAATTTGTTGTTGTGGATTGATGCAAGCAGGACAAACAAAATTTGACACTTTAGATAAAGTACCAATTATTTTTGTACAACGTTTGTGACACCACTGGTTACACTGCTGACACTTGAACAGGGCCATCGTCCAGTAGCTGTGGATTGGATGGGTTCACCAGTGTTCATTGCTTTGGTTTTGCTGATGTTGACTTTGAATCCATGATCGGCGGGTCTGGTGTTCCAATCTTCAAACATCTGTGCTGCATTCTGCACAGACGTGGCTGTTAAAACGATATCATCAGCATATATTAGATTCCAAATGTCACCAGTGCGTATCGGTTAAGTGATTTCTTCCATCACAGGTATAAATAACAGTGGACTGAGGATCGAGCCTTGGTGAACACCAATACCGATGTCAAAGGCATCTGTGTTTCCAACCGTTGTGGTGACGAGTTGTCGACGTAGACTCCACCTGATTGCTTCACGGGTAACTCGATCAAATGCTTTTTCAAAGTCAACAAAATTGTGTGATATTTGTTGATGCTTTGCGAGGTACTTCTCTTGCAGTTGCCGAAGGATGTGAATTGCATCAATTGTTGATTTCTCCGCTAGGAAACCAAATTGATAATTTCCGATTGTGATGCACGATGTTAATCTTTTCTCAATGATTTTCTCGACAATTTTCAGGGAGTGTTTTAACAGACGTATACCCCGATATGATGAACAGTTCAATGGATCACCTTTGCCTTTGTATAGCGGGACTGTCATGCTATAGTTCCATTCAGTCGGCATTGAGCAATTTCTCCAGATTTCACGGCAAAGTTGTAGTAACGTTTGGATACCTGCAGCACCAGATGCTTTGATATAGTCATTTGTGAGTCCAGAGGGCCCTGCTGCCTTTCCATCCTTCATAGCTTTCAGAGCTTCTGTAAGCTCCTCTATAGTGATGTCTGGAATCGGACTTTCGATGGGTGGAGCGTCAAAGTTAACATTGATGGGATTTGTTTCGTTTAACAGACGGTTGAAGTATTCTCTCCACTGTAGCTTGATCTCATCCTGTTCAATAACCATCACATTTTTGTCATTTTTGATACATGAGGCACCAACTATGTCTTTTTTGTACGCTTTGCTTGTTTTGCTATACGATACAGAGATTTCATTTGTTCACCTTTGCTTTTAATGAGCCACTCTCTGCACTGATCTGTCCGAGCCAGTGCAACTTGACGTCTTGCATAGTTGTTCTTCTCACGGAAAATTGTATGGTCATCAACAGACTTTGATTTTTGCCATTGCTTGTATGCAACTTTCTTTTCAGCTATTGCATTTTGTACACTGTCATTCGACCACCAAGTGTCACGTTCATGCTGACGTTTTTTACCAGTTTTCCCACAAACTGTAGTTGCAGCGTTTATCAAAACTGTTTTGTATGTACTCCAATCTGTACTGGCGACAATCTGTTGAAATTTTTCTCGATGAATATTGTTTTTCAGCTTCCACGTTTTGATTCTCCGAGGCGTTTTGGTTCATTTGATATATCTGATAAATACTTAGGAAATAATTTAGATTTAGACTTATACATAAACGTGCAAATTTTAAAAATTATTCTTTATTTAATAGGTAGCCAGTGCAAGAGAACAAGATATGGAGATATATGAAAAAAAAGAAAAGGGCATCAGCAACTAGACGAAAAGCTTTACTTAAAGGATAGAGTATAGAGTCAGAAAGACCATAGTAGAGCGAGTTACAATAATCAATCCTAGATAAAACTAACGAAGTAACAAGAAGGAGAAATGTAGGATCATCAAGAAAAGCCAAAAGTTTTTTTATTCTACGTAGATGAAAGTAAGAGCTTCTAGTAACACTATTAATCTGAGAAGAAATAGACATAGTAGAATCAAAGATAAAACCTAGACTACGAAACTTGTGAGAGACATCAAGAGTTTTAGAATCAGGTAAGATAATAGGAGGAATAGTAATAGAGTTTTTAAATTTATTAAAACAAATTAATTCAAACTTAGAAGGATTAAGTTTAAGACACATAGAGTCAGACCAAGCGATAATTGAAGAAAGACAGAGAGATGATTATGAAGAACACTATTGAGATTAGATATAAAAGAAGTATAAATGTAATGATCATCAGCATATAGTTTACTATAGAAAGAAAAGTTCTTAATAATACAAGTAGTTCAGAGGTATAGAGTATAAATAGAATTGGGCCAAGGATAAAACCCCAAGCTACCCCGAAAGTAAGAGTAGAGGAGTTAGAAATAGAATTATTGAGAACAACAGAAATAAAACGATTACAGAGATAAGAAGAAAACCAAGATAGACAAGAATCAGTAATATTAAAAGAAGGATGTAGCAGCCTCAAGAGAATAGTATGATCAACAGTATCAAAAGCCGAGGAAAAGTCATGAGCAAGAAGAAGAGTAAGATTACTATTGTCACTAGAGAGAAGGATATCATTGTGTATTTTGAGTAAAGAAGTTTCAGTACTGTGAGCAGGTTTGAAATCCAGGCTAAAAAGTTGGAAATAAGACGGTAGCTGGAAGAATCAGATGGATCAAAGTCAGATTTTTTTACTGATGAGGTCTATTGTTCGAAGAAGGAATGTTAGAAGAAGCAATTGTTGTAGCAATAGATTAAAGAATAGTTTATTTTGTCCTTAAAAAAGTTAGCAAAAGAAGATACAAAAGTAAGAGTAAGAGATTCAAAATCAGAAAAATGATGATCTGAGTGTTTGTAAAGAATGTTGTTGAGAGAATATCAGAAATCACGAGAGTTGCTGCAGTTGTTGAGAGTGTTTTTAATAGAATAGATCCTAGACCTTATTATGGCATCACGAGCAACACGTTTAGCATATTTGTAGCTGACGAAGTTGAGCGCCGAGTTTTCATATTTGTAGTGATGCTCCATACGACGACAATTTCTTTGAGCAGCTACTGCCTCTTGGGATAAAGAACAACAATGATGGGAGCTCTCACGAAACGAGTAATGGTAGGTTTGTGCGTGTTTGTTGACGATGTTTTTTAAAGTTTAGTTTAGAGCTGATGCAAACTCATCGACCTCCAAACTTTGTGAGAGCAATTCATCAAATGCTCTGTTGCTCTGTTTAAATCATTTTTGAATGACTTGTAATTTAAACGACGAAAGCTGCTGTGGATGATTGTCGTTGGTGGTTTGAAGAGCGTTGAGTTGAAGCACACAATGTTATAATCTGAAAAAATGATAAACGTTAGATTATGGCCAATGATGAAATCTAGGTGATCTGTATATTCATCAAGAAAGCTTATTGAAACAGGAGTGAGTGGCCCGTGAATTGATGAGATAATGAATGACGACGAGAAAGTGTTGAATATTTATTGAAATGCTTTCAAAGTTACAAAAAAATGCACTATTGTTGATGGGTGTTGCCCTCAGTAAGTTGTACACAACAGCCAAGTCGCCACCACGTTTGTGACTGTATTTACCACGATGAGAATGACAAACTAAGTAACCCAAGGGAGCCAAACTTTATAAAACAACCCGTGGGGCATCAGATGGTATCCAGGTTTCGGTGACGACGAGAATGTCAATTTTATCTTCACATATGACGTTGTTCAGAAGAGAGGCGTTGTTGACAGCGGATCTTGCATCTACAAGCCCACATTTTAATTTGGTCAAGCGTTTTATTTTCCAGTTCAACCAGTTCAAAGAGAAATTTAAGGTGCCTTCATTACTAATCAATTTACTTAATATAATATACAAAATAAATAAAAAATTTTTCATGAATGTGCCAGAAACCATTTCGTATCAACATGGCATTGTGGGGCTCAACAGGACAATGAATACACTTCGTTCTTTTTTATGCGGTAGATGCGTTCCAGGGAAATCCGCATATAAAAAAATCGCACAAAAAAGACATACATTTATATGCAAAATGATGTATACGTTCCATTTATGAAAAATCGCATAAAACCTAAATAATTTTTTGAAATGCACCAGATATCGCATATAAAATTTATAAATAATAAGATTTAAATTTTTTTCATTATATTTTAATAAATGGCACATATGTATGTTAATAACAAAAACAAAACTTAATATGTAAAAAAAACACAACTTTCTTTTAAAATCATATTAAGAATGTTTTCATCATTTTTTGCTGTCTGGTTTGATAATGTGCGAACCCGTTTGTAGATTGGTGCAAGGCACATATGTATGTTAATAACAAAAACAAAACTTAATATGTAAAAAAAAAACACAACTTCGTTTAAAATCATATTAAGAATGTTTTCATCATTATTTGCTGTCTGGTTTGATAATGTGCGAACCCGTTTGTGGATTGGTGCAAGAGCCTTTCTTCACTTGAAGATAAAATAAAGTCATCAAATCTACATGGTAATGCTTCTTCAGGAACTTCAGTGATTTTTTTTCTTTGACAAGGTATTCAGTAATCAAACGCTGTGATGGCTTGACTAGTTCTTTGTAGAGTTTTCTGTAGCCAGACATACAAAATTTCAGATCACGTTGGAATTTTAATGCGCGTTCTACATTATTATCATTTTGAATAAAAAAAAGTTGAAGGCCTTCTCGAAGTAATTTTTCGTCCAGTGGAATAACATCTTCCGGTTCGCTATCTCTTGTTTCGAAATCTTTAGTAGTATCTACCATACTTTCCAAAATATCATCATCATTTAGGGCTTTGTCCACAAGCAAGTCTTCTATATCATGCTCGCCAAAATCATCATCTGATTCTTTTAACTTCTTGTAAAATTTAAGGTGTTTCACCTTGATTAAATGTCCATTTAACGAAATTCTTTTTTGAGTTAAATCTTCAATCCAAATTACGAGGGCCTTTTCTGTTTTTTCTATTAAAGTGCCTCTTGAATATGATGAAATTTTAGAACTCAAATTTGTACCAGATGTGACTGATCTTCTTATTGCCGCTTCATTTTTTAACTTAACATGTACAATTACGCAGTAAAATTATTAAAAAAAAAACTTACAATTCACTTGAGTAAATTTATCTTTTGGTTTTCGGTAGTAACATTCTTTCACAAAGTTTTATTTTCTAATGTATTCCAATATGCAGACTTTTTTAATTATTTCATACAAGAACAAAATGCAATGCAAAATGCAGCATAAAAACACGAAATTTTAACGAGGTATTTTTGTTTTTGTCTCTTTTGTTTTTAAGAACAAATCAAGAGAAAAAAATTAAGGAACAAAAGAAAAAAGTTTAAGGTAAACATTTGCATATACCTAAGGAGAAATACTTTCTTTGTATTGATTGCGTAATAGTAGAGTTGTATATAGTTGTAATTCTTATTCGTTTTCAAAAAAAGTGAATCACCAAAAAAATTAAATTTTCAAAATTTGAATAAATTTTTTTTTCTTGCCTCGCATAACTCTAAAGCCGCATAAAAAAACCGCATAAAAAGAGAACGAAGTGTACTTCATATCAACTATAAATGATGCAAATAAGCATGTTATTTGTCAAATAAATATTTCAGTTAAACGAACTATTGAAAAAAATAGAAAAAAACTATATTCCATTATTTCTACAATCTTGTTTTGTGGAACAAATGATTTGGCACTTCGTAGAAGGATAGTACAACAGGAAACATAGAACAACTTTATGCCTATAGAATTGAGGGAGGAGACACTATTTTAAAAAGTCATTTAGATAAAGCAACTGAAAATGCTCGTTACACATCACATTGAACGCAGAATGATTTGATCAAATTGTCTGAACAAGTTCTGAGAGAAGACATTGAAAAACTGCTAATAATGCTGTTGAATTTTCAATTTTAGCTGATGAAACGCAGATATCTCCGGAACTGAACAGTTATCATTGGGAGTGCGGTTTGTAAATGCATCAAGTGAGAAGGATATGATTTGTGAAAATTTTTTTGGATTTTTACCGCTGAAAGATATGCATGCTACCACAATATCTGATGGTGTAATTAAAAATTGTCAAACATTCTGTCTTCTTAATAATCTGTTGGGTCAGGGTTATGATGGTTATTCTACAATAGCTGGAAAAGAAAATGGTAACCAGGCAAAAATTCAAAATATTTACCCCAAGGCTGTCATCTTTTATTGGGCCTCACACAGGCTGAATCTGGTGGTAAATGATCTTAATTGTGATCCAGTTATACAGAATACTATTGGCACAATTACAATTACAATTTACAATTTAACAATTTTTATTAATGGAGACCTGAAGCAATGCTTGTATGGCCACATCCAAAAAAAAAATAACATAACGTAATATGACCAGAAATAAACAAAACACTATATAACATAATTAGCAAAAAGAGATGTTGCAAAACTGAAATTGTTCAATTTACTTTAACATGAAAATCACTAAAATTAAAGTTCTAATCAATTAAAATATAATTTTAATGTTCATAATATAAAAAACAGTGTCATGAAAACATATTGATGAAATACAAATGATATTTAACATAAACTTAAGTTTTATATATTTAATTAAACAGCAGAAAAATATTCAAAATTTAACAGTATAATTATTGATTTCTTAAACTTAATTATGCTAGACAATAATTTTATATTAGAAGATAAGGAGGATCATAATTTAATACCATAAATAAATAAAGAATTAGAGAGCAGATCAGTTCTTACAGTTGGAACATAAAATTCAGGGGTATGTCTAGTTTGCCTCTTAACAATTGAGTTAGATTTAATAATAAATTTATGGAAATAACTATACATTTTTAACTTAACCATTTTATAAATAAATATTAAGATTCTTAAAATGTACAACTAATTAATTGATAAAATACCAGATTTTTTGAAAAAATAAGTTATATGATCAAACATATGAAGATTATATATTATTTTTATAAAATAATTTTGACACCTAGTAAGGATTATTATATGTGATTTTGTATTTTTAACCCAAACGATGATGCAATAAATAAAATAAGGATAAATTAATGTAAAATATAAATTTAATAAAATTTTTTGTGGAAATGTTTTTCTTAGTTTATTTATAACACCAAGCCCCTTAGAGCAATTACATAATTTTTTCGTGAAAATCCAAAAAGGAGGTTTTCTGTTCTAAATATATCTCTTCTTTGTGAGACCAGATGGACAAGCAGATATAAAAGTATTCAAAATTTTAGTAATAAATTTGAAATAACGTATTTTTTCAACTTAACGAATTTTCAATGCATTCAAGTGGTAATACAAGCCAGGCTGCTCATCAACTATATTGTTCGACAAAATCTAGCATTCTTATTTTTCAGTATTCAGCTATATTGGAACCCGTTTCTCAGGCTCTTCAAGCTGTTCAAGTTGATCTTCCAGAAGTCCAACTGCAAGTACAAAATTTGCTCACTGTGGTTAAACTTCACAGATTTTGTGGATTTTGGGGAATCCACAAATTATTTTAGAGATGAAACAGTAGATCTTGCACAAAAGATAGATATTGAGCTTACTATCCCAAGACTGTGGAAAACAAAAGCATCGAAGCAATCCTGGGACAATGAATGTTGAAGATAACTTCAGACCAACCGTTTACATTTCATAATTAGCTCACTGGAGAGTCGATTTTTTGAATCTAATAGTGCACAATTTAGCTTAGTCTTGCTGCATCCTTTTAATTTGTGCAAACTGAATCGTCAAGACTTTATTGACAAACTCTTTCTGATCAACCAGGTCTACAACATTGATAACTTTGAAATGGAAGCCTTGAGTTGGTATGATTTTTGGAAGACGCGAGAGTTCAAAACTTGTGAAGATTTCATTGACACTTTTACACAGTTTTATCCGGCTGTCAAGTGTGCCTTGCTGATTTGTTAACATTACCAATTACAACTTGTACAGTGGAACGATCATTCCGCACCTTACGTCCTCTAAAATAAAAACATGGGCTAGATCTATAAGGTCACATGATCGTTTGTCTAGATTGAGCATGTTGATCGTACACAGAGACAAGGTGAATTGCAACAAAAAAGTTTTTATGGACAAAATTGTTGATATGTTTAGTAGCGATAACAGACGAATCCAATTCTTGTTCAAAGAATAAATTTCTTTTCAGTTACGTTTCTTCCTAAATCAAATTATTTGTTTACTTTCATTATTGTATTGACTATGTGATTGTTATAATAAAAAATTTATTAATGTTTTGTGCTTTTATTTACTAGTTCTCTGAACGAATGCTTAAAAAATATGCTCTGTAAATCAAAATTGCATGAAAACACCACCAAGAATATTTTGCTCCACCCTCAAGAAAATTTGTCAGCTGACACTCTTGCTTATCCCTCCCCCTCCTGGAAAATTTATGATTTAGACAATTAGATTAAATTTAGACAATCTGCGGGCACCAATGGCTGCATTAGATTAATCAAGAGTTGGGTTTTACAAACATGTTATATCAGAAACTCACATACAGTCTATTTCATCGTAGTTCGAGCAAAATATTGATTGATTATTGAGTTGATCGTCTAAATCCATTTTAAACTGAAAAACAGAAAGTTTATGAAATTATTTTTTATAATAATTATCAACAGTTATCTTTGTTACTAATATTTAGCAGAAAACAATATGAATGTGAAATAAGTCATAATTAAAGTTGCCCGCCCCGAAAAAAATTTTTCCCCCACTCAAACAAACTTGTTTAACGATAGCCACACAACGTGCAACGGAAAATTTGAATCAAAAACTATTAATGATAAAGGAGTATAAGAATACACAAATTAACAGAAATTTATCTTTTATAGCTTAAGTCCAAAATCATTAATATAATAAAAAAATAACCAAAAATAAAAAAAGCAAAGCAAATCAAATGCGGCTAAACACTAAGAGAGCAGGCTAAAATCATTCTCGTTCATTATTTCGAACTTTTTCAAAAAGAAATTGAGCAAAAACTGTCGCAATAAATTAAATTTTTTTCGCAAATTATCAATTATTTTTATAGAGTAGGAGATAAGATTTCGCTCGTAGACACTGCGTTCATATAAACGTGTTACGTCTATACATGCGTCTGAAAGCTTCTGGAATGGATGGCTGGAAACCACTTGTCGATAGATGGTTGAATGCATTAAATGTTTTGAATTTGTAATCCAGTGAATAATCTGTCAATTAATCAATATTTTAAGTTACTTTATTTATTCGGTTTTTATTGTCATTTAAAACAAATTTGTGAATTTGTTAAATAAAATTTATAACATAAATTAACGGTTGAAGCCAAAAATTGTTTAGTAAGCTGCTCATCATAAAACAACAAGTTACCTAGAAGGAGCTGCAGACTGGGAATAGCAATATCAGCATGTATTCGAATAACATAATGCAGCATTGTTTCTTTTATTACATCCTTTTCTTCACCATCTATAAATATTGATCCCCACGGCATGTCTTGTCTGCACTTTAAATTGTACAAATGATGAAAAATTTTAAGAATGGTAGTGAAGGTAAAAAACACATGTGACAATGTGACTTAAAAAATTTTGCAAACAAATTTGACGAGCCTGGGCCTGAAGTTTATCCTGACTGTGTTTGTAAAAGCACTGTTCACTGATCATTTCTTCGAGAATAAACACGGTGTCCCACTTGGCTGTCCGTTTAGCAGGGATGATGTCGGACCTTAAACTGTCTCCGAAGAACAGTACCTGTTACAGCAAAATAATAAATTCTTAAATTCGTTGAACTGATTAAAAGCACATTATTAAGGATACAAGAACCAATGTCCTAGATAAAATTTATTATTTAGCTAACAAAGATGTTCAGCAAATTGAATCTTATCGCTGCTATTTATGCTATATAATTCAAACAAAATTAGCCATGGGCATTACTCACATCGATCAGTATCGGTATCTTTAAAATTCAGTACCAAAGCACTTGTATCAGCATTGAAAAAATAATACCGATATTGGCATCAGTAATTTACCGGTACCGATGCATCGGTATTTACCGATGTTATATTACCGTTGTAACTGGTTGAATGTTTACTAAAAAACTGGGGTAAGTAAATGATTTTAAAATTTCCTAATTTGGCAAATAGATACTTAGGCAAATTTCTTGTTTTACTGATAAATCAAAAAATATAAGTTTGTATGGCAAATGTTTATGTGCACACAACCAAAGGTTCAATACATCGGCGTTAGTAACAAATACAAGAAAGTTTTTCATAAACATTTTTAAAGGCGTTAATTTAATAGAATAATTGGGAGGGGGCAGCATGTTTCCTTTTACAAATTTGTTGTTAATAATTTAGTCCGAAAATTGTTTTTCAATAAGCTTAAATTGATCGGAATTTTTAGTTACAAATAAAACGTAAAACATCAAAAAGAGGTAGAAAAGCCTTATCAGCTACTATCATAACCAGTTCTCCATATAAGGCTGCCTTGAAATCATCAAATGATAAAAATCAGCTAAACCAATTTCGAAGAAAAAAAAGGGGACCACATCACAATGCAGCCACCAGCAATAAAAAGCAGGTGGATCAGCATCAGCTAGGAACAAGTAAACAATGTCTAATTTCTGAAAAAAGTGAGAATGAAGATGAAACTTCAAACGATGAAGAAGATATCGGAAGTCTTATCTCATCCTGGAGCTCCAACACATTATATTTTATTGGACAGGAAGTTCCAGAAGATAATGATGCAGACTGCTTATTTTGTGGTGAGACATTCAGAACATCAAAATCTGGAGAACTTTGGGTGCAATGTGTGATATGTCTAAAATGGACTCATATGTTATGTAGTGGATGTGAACAAGATATTTTCATCTGTGACTTTTGTTTGTAAGAACTCATAAAAATGTGTTTTATTACTTATAATTTTTATTTCATTGATAAGAACAATTTGTTATGTTTAAAAGTATAAAACTATAATTATATGTAAGAATAAAAGAGATTGTTCTGAAAATAAAACATTTTTTTGTTCATTTCTACATTTGTTCCATTTTACCACCCCAACATCCAAAAACCATTTTTCGAGGTATGCTAACAAAAAAATGTTTATCAAGGAGAAGTTTTATTCTTTACCAAAATTAGTCATAAAATATTATAAAATACATATTTGTTTGGTAGACTAAGGGTCCAATAATTATTGTCTAAATTTTTTCTTGGCCCAAGACAAAAAAGTGGTCCATATTACCACCTTCTCCCCTAGATATTGAAAATAGATAGTGAAATTTAAAAAATAAATTAAGTTATAACACGACAGTTGCAATCTCGTGAGATTTCTTTATTTAAACGTTTAATAAAAAAAGGAGAAACAAAACAAGGACTTTAACGTTTTATTCCTTTTAACCAGAATATTAATCAGATTTTATTATAAATTTCACATATAAAAAGTGGTTTTTTTTCATTTCATATTTTGGAATAAACTTATCAATAATAACGCCAAGCCTATTTCATTCGCCAAATCCTTGTGGAAAGGAAAAATCAATGTAGAATTGAGTCGTTTTGTCCTGTTGTCAATCTCAGGCAGGTTTTTAACCTTCAAAATCCCGAGAATGACTGCTCAGCTGTGACAAAAGACGAAGGAATTATAATTGTAGCAGAAGACAAAAAACACATTAATGTGTTTAAAAACTTTACAATTATCGGGAAATTCAATAAAACGTAGCATCTTCAACTGACTGCTTTGCATCTTTCGATATACAATCAACTGGGTCAATATCAACTTTGTAGAATTCGAAAATCTTGACCTTGTTTGCATCGTTGTTGCGTTGTCTAGCATAAGCTGCTCTATTTCCATCAAAAATTTGAATAACTGGCTCTTAAGTCGAAAACTCCGTGCTTTCAAAATTACATAAATAAACTCCACGAAACAAATTGCTTCGTCTCCATGTTGGCGTCTATAAGCACGATATAACGTGATATAGTACGAAATGTGTGAACAAAATGTTATAGGGAAGGGTGGGGTACGTTGAGGCATGGGGGTACAGTGAGAAAATCTAATAATTGTTTAGCCGTACATAATTTTTTCTATACAGTTAATTTAATCTGTATTTTAGTAGGACCGGTAGTTTACAATATAATTTTCTGCGACGAAAATCGTGAGTTGCGTTTTTTAACTCTGATTTTTGATTTTTTGACACATTTCTAGACATGTTAATATTTGATTTGGAATGTAATTGTTCAATTATTTGTAATGATACTGTGATCACTCCTACATGAAAGTTTGACGCATCAATAAGGAATTAGTTCATATAGAAGCCAAATTTTTATTCCAATTGGTTTTGGTACTACGTCGAATAATTTTGTCAACGACTTTGTGGGGTACAGTGAAACAACAATGAATGGCTACAGTGAGACGTATGGGGTACCTTGAGACAATAACACAACTGATGTTAAACATGGTTTCTTAATTAATAAAATAATTATTAAATGATCATTTGAAATTATATTCTTTTTATAAATATTTCTTAATTATAATTGACCTTTTAAGTAGTTTCCAATTTTTTTTATCATTATCTCATGAATAAAATTGTTGAATTGTGTTATATTATTCATGGATGTTAGCATTCAATTTCACGTGACACTGATTAAAAATGACGCAAGTATTGGTATTGATTAGCAATACTTTTGAAACTGAGCTATGGTATTGCCAATACAATTTTTGGTGTTGTTACCAACCCTGGCCGTGCGCAAACCAGTGTACAACCTTCGAACAATGTACAGCAACTCGTAAACATTCCAGCTTTTAATATCAGTGAGTTAGCTGAAGCGAAAAACAGTAATAAATTTATTTAACTCTAATTTTATTTTTCATGTCATTTTCACGTCATTTTGCGTTTTTCAGTAATTTTCGTGATGAGGCTTTTGAGAAATTTTTAACTATCACTGGCAAATTTATTTTTATAATAATAATTCATAATAATCATGCAAACCGCAAAAGCATATATAAACATGCCCACATAAATATATGCATCGTTGTTGGTCATCATTGCCTTTTGTTATTATGAATTTTTAAAATGATGATTTTTTTTATCGTTGAATCGTACATTTTCAGTTAGGTTAAATGATAATCGGCATCGGCACTGAAAAATTTCATTACCCATGTCGGCATTGATATTTTTCGGTACATTGGTTAAGTATAAAGCCCATAACTAAACCAAATCTAACTTTGGGATTTTGTTTTCCAGTAACGAGTTGAAGATGTTTATCAAGCTGTGTGAAGTTTCCACCGAGAACCTTTCTGTTGCCCTCCAATTGATCAGCAACCACTTTTGTGTTGCAGTCAACTGCTTATTTTGTGTGTGATTTGTAAAATTTTGAAAAAACATATTCATGTCGCATACATGCCTTAGAATGAGCTGCGCAGCTGCGGGTGTTTTAATTTACGATGCTAATGTGCCAGTCTGCGAACGCTATGCGAAATAGAATATTGAATTAATTTTTAAACTGGTTAACTGTATTATGATGACTGAAAATGAATAAAGTTATAACTGCATAATACTACTCAAAAGCTAAAAGGAAAAACAGTTGAAGCCTCTTTCTAGAAATTGCGAACTCATTTACGTTAAGATTAATATAATTTTTCAACACTTTTGGATTGTAAAATTTTGTTATTGTTATTTGGATAGATTGTAAAATTTTATAGAACTCTCAATTTTGTTTAGAAATAAACTTGTTGCTCTGTTTCAATGAACACGGGCACGTCAATATGGTAAAAACGCAAAGCTCATAAGCTTGTTATAAAAAATATAGAAAAAAAATTTTCAAATAGTTTAAGAAAATTTAGGTAATTGAAAGATGCCTTTGCAAAAATAATATAATACTGATAAGATTGCATTATTAAATTGCCGTCTTCAAAAATTTTATGCATAGAAGATCGCGTTAGCTTATGACCTCCAAAAAATAATTGTCTAAAAATTATCTTATATAACAAGAAATAACAAACAAACAAACTCACATGTGGAATAGAATGGATTTTTCTTGTTGAAGAACATGGGCTTCTCAGCATGAAAAATTGAAAAATCAAAAAACTCCTCCCAGCGTTCCCTATTAAAATGTGAAATGTATTGTTTCAAGGCTCTGTGTTGTTGAAAAGATTTAGGACTGTTAAAATTCTACTTGCAGATCAGGTTGAAGTTTAAAAGCGTGCAGCAGTAAATTCTCTTGTATACAGCTACATAAAAATGCCTTAGCCCATGTACTAAAAATTCAAAGGTAATGTTAACAAACAGGACTTCAGATCTCTAAAACAAGAAGCTCGCAAAATATTAAACATGTTGTACAAAAATTTAAAACTTTATCATTTCAAAGCTTTATCATTACAGTTTCAGTTGAAAGTGAATAATTTTAAATGCAAATTTTGACATAATCTAAACGACGAAATTTGTTGAGCACTATGAAGGGGGTGGCTAGGATAGTCTGGCTACCTTATTTATTTATTTTATAAATATGATCCCGTACAGACAGAACATCAAACTAAATGAATCAAGGCCAAAAGGAAAACCAGCCAGCTGATGTCGAATGCTAAAAGAAGAAAAAAGACTAAAAGAAACAGGTAATTTGGATCACAGAACAAACTTTCAACACCCTTTCGGTAAAAAATAAAAAACTAAACATTCATTGAATTTTTGTCATATACAAACAAAACTAATAAAAAATTTATTATTAAAATAAAAACTGAAACCAACCCAAGAACAAATTTCAACGTCGCTTCAGCGAAATCCTGATAAGCAGACGTTAAGAGGAACATTGGCCGAGCCTTGCCATTGTTGTGTCTCATCATCCGCAACCAGCTTTTCATACTTGTGCTGCATTTTCTTACATATCTGCTTGTATCTTTTACCCACTTGTCAAAAAATGATCCATATTCCGCTATCAATCAAAAGTTAATAAGCAATTAATTAAATCTCTATATCAAGTTTCCGTGCAAGAAATTTTCAATCAATAATAAATACTTGTCCTATAAAATTTAGCATGAATTTTAAAGCAATCGACTAAATAAACTTTGATAACTTTCAGAACAAAATTATCTTGAAAAGAGTACGCAAAACAACTCAAATGATAGCATATTAAAGTTCTCACTTTACTTTTACAATGCTCCATAGCCAACTCGGTCAAGAATAACTAAGTGTTTCACCTGCTTTTTCTAAGCATCGTTTGTCATCTTTGCCTTATCTACCGCTTATGTACTGGCTGACGATAATGTATATATTGAATACACAACTAGCTTATTCGTAGGAAGCAACAGCAATTTTTGCTTCACAATTTCTGCACAAAGAATTAGATCTGACTGTCAAGCGGATCACAAAACAAAATATAATGTCACGTTTAATCATCTATTAATTGAAAATCATCAGCACAAAGCCCTCGTAAGGTTATTTGTCGTTGGTATCTGAAGTACTTGTAGTAACCTGACCACATTTAATACGTTTATAATTTGTTCTGAGTACAATTGCATAAATTCTACCTTTGAGAGGGTTAGGTATGTAAACATGTCGGATAGCTTCCACAACATCAGGCCATACATTATATGATGGAGGATTGCTACTGTACTGTCACCAAGAAAATTATTCATTAATTGAATAACGAATTACGCAAACTTCAAATAACAACTATGAAACAATATTAAATTCGTCTGAAGAGGTTTTCAAATACAACAACTGAAACTTACACGCATTTTGTGTAAGAATGTTATGGCATAAAAACGAAACAACATTGCTTTAAGTCAGTGATAAAAATTTTGCGACATGTTTTAATCATTTATTTCATTTGATATCTTAAAACAGCTTGGCAGCAAAAATGTAATGTCATCTGCTGGAGTCATGTGATGGAATGATGTCATCTGTTGGGGTCATGTGATGGCATGATGTCATCTGTTGAAGTCATGTGATGAAATGATGCTATCTGTTGGAGTCATGTGATGAAGTGTGATGTCATCTGTTGTAGTCGCGTAAAATGATGTCATCTGTTGGAGTCAAGTGATGGAGTGATGTTATCTGTTGGAGTCATGTGATGAAGTGATGTCATCTGTTGAAGTCACAAGATGGAATGATGCCATCTGTTGGAGTCATGTGATGGAGGGATATCATCTGTTGTAGTCGTGTGAAATGATGTCATCTATTGGAGTCATATAATGGAGTGATGTCATCTGTTGGAGTCATGTGATGGAGTGATGTCATTTGTTGGAGTCAAGTGATGGAGTGATGTCATCTGTTGAGGTCATATGTGGCAGTGATGACATTTGGCATCTAAAATCAATAATATGTGTTGAAAGTTATAAATGCCAACAATGATATCAGTTGAAACAATTTTAGACGAACAATCATCATAAGCTTTCAACTAATTTTGGCAAGAATATAAAATTCAAAATTATGTTTGTTAACTAAATTAAAGTTTCATTATTAAAATCCCCACAAGATTTATCCCCACAAGATATTTAAAATAAAATTTGATATAAAATTTATGTACAAGAAATATATAACTCGAATTATGAAATTAAAATGCACTCCACTAACTCTTCTATCTAGTTCGTCAATCAACTGTGCACACAACAAAGCTGATGACATGTCGTAGAAGTTTTCAAATATTCTGAACTTTGCTAAATAACATTTAAAAAATTTGTTTAGCATTACATGGCAAATTATAAACATACGTTAAAATAAAACATACTGATTTTTAATAAAACTAATAGAATGTGCAAACTTCCGAGATTATCCATGGATGTGGACAATTGCTGATGTAGTGGCCAGACTTTGCAATCATAATTACATCTTGGCAGAGGACTAGTCCCATGGAATGATCTGATATCAATTTCCAATAATTTAAAATTTATACATTACGAATTTTTATTTCCTGTTGAATTTGATTTTCAGTGGAGACGAATTGCCGAAATTTGATATTCGACTCTGGCCATTTTAAAAGCCAAATACCCAAATTTATTGCAACTTTCATTTAGGCCGTAACTTTTTTCTGGATTCTAGGAATCTCTATTGATACTATTAGCGGAAATTTGTTTTGGCCATCGTAGCTGTTGGAGCATTTAAAATTGAACAAGAGATTGAATATTATCTCAGTGAAGAATTTCTGGATAGACATGAACCTTCTACTATTTTTTTCAATAGCTTCTTATTCATTTCAAAAAAGGCATATTTTTAAAATTTGGGTTTTTTAGTATTCTGCCTTTGGCTTTGCGGCCTTCGGTCAAAATCACTATTCAATGCCTCTCTAGATAATAACTGCGTTCACAGTTATTATCTAGAGAGTACACAGTGGCGGATCTAACGTTTAGCAGACTAAGTTTCATGTGGAAAGTTTTTCTTTTAAAAATTAACTTGAATGAATTTTTTAGTAAAATAGAATTTAAAAAAGTTATTTATTTTTAATACTATTTGTTTTATTGGCCAAAGAGCCCGTCAAAAAAATCAATTTATAAAGATAATTAAAATAAATTTTAAAATATCATAAAAACTAAAAAAATTCAATTTATTTACTAAATTCGACGTTAATAAGCGTTTGCAACATTAGCAGTTTGCTCTGTACTGTAATATCTAATATGTACATGTTCACTTTTTTGTGCTTGTGAATAATAAAATAATAAAATAAATTTTTAAATATGCGGTGCATTAGCTACAGTGACTTTTCTTTGAACATCCTTAATTTTTCTAACTATTCATTTATCAAATGCATCTTGAGAAATGTTTTTCTGTTTTGAAGAGAATTAAAAATTGTTTAAGGAGTACAATGGGGGAGAACAATTAAATAATTTAGCAATTTTGTACATAGAACAAGGAACATTCAATCGTGTTGACACTGCAAAAACTATCGATGAATTCACAAGGAAGAAAGAAATTTATTTGAAAACAAATTTTGTTTGTCAGATATTGTTTTAAAATGATTTCTTGTAATCTACCTTTCTAATTTCAATATTGCCGAATACATATTTGTAAATACTTGAAAATTTATGAACTTTTTTAGCCATTGAACATTTGTAAAAATAATTCAATATGTTTATCACCAGCATCAGCGTTTATAGGCGTTACTCCCCATTTAGGGCTTCTCCAGGGTCTGAAGCCTCGGGTTTGCGTTTCTCCTATGGTGCACACCCCTCCAGAGACACTCTTCAAACCTCTTTGTCGAGCACCACTCAGGCTTCAGTCTTCTTTGTTATGCCTCAAAAGTTTAAAATTTAGACATACACAAACAAAAGCCTCAATGACATTAAACTGCATCCACGCTGTCGTGCGTACTTCTGAGCCAGAGTCACCGCTTACAACTTATATATTGAAATTTATGTTTTTATTTGTCTAAATTTTAACTTATGTATGAGGCACAACAAAAATAGCATGATGTTTACAAAGATTGTATCTCAGGAAGGGTGTGCACTATTGGAAAAAACAAACCCAAAACGTTTGGTTAGGGTGAGAGATGGATGATATATATATATATATATATATATATATATATATATATATATATATATATATATTGGATTAAGACTGTCAGAAATGCAATTATTGATAAAAATCACAGCATGTTCGGCGTTAGTTAACTTCCAATTTAATTTTTCGATTTTTCTAACGGTTCATCGTAAATCATTTTCAAGTTTCTTTAGTTCTAAACCAAAATTTTTGTTTAATGCATGATGGAACAGTAAAGCTTTTTTTGGTATTCCTATACCATCTTCGGTGTTCAAATTGATATGTTGTGCCCAGATGCTTAATTATTTTTATACTGTGCCTATTTATTGGTTCCTTGTTTGTTCAAAGTGAATATTTAGTTTTACAATCTTCAACGTCGTAAAATATAACACTTTTACGTGTTTTCATTACCGATAAATATAACACTTTTACGTGTTTTCATTATCGATGATTCCTCTGTTTCTAAATTCATTGGTAGGAAGAATTCCAATTGCCATTGTTAAAATATTTATTATCGGATGTCTTTGTTCTATGAGTATTGATTCGGCTAGTCGTAAATTATAATATTTGCATTATAATTTGTTAATTTGATATATATATATATATATATATATAAATTTTGGTAACAGACTGTTGTTAACGCAACTATGTATATATATATATATATATATATATATATATATATATATATATATATATATAGTTAAAGGATCAGTTAAGATTTTGATAATTTTTTTATAAAAAGTTGTTTTTTAGTATGGTAGAGTTGTATTCCCCAGCGAATTAGTTCCGAAAACGACTATTAAATTGAACTAAATAATTTACCATTAAAAATATTATTTAAAATATCCTAATTTTGACACGTATCAACATGTCATCGACTAAACATCAAACATCAATCCCCGTCGAGTCATTTGAAAGTATTTTGGCCAAAATACTAGACAAGTCAAATGATCACACTATGAAGTGTTTCGATAATCTGCTTAAGAAATCTAACGAAAACCTAGAAAAAGTCATAACTCTGTCCAACAACAGTCTTGAAAAGATATTTGAAAAGTTTGACTCCAGCCTGACGTTGGTTATTGAAAAGTCAAACGAAAATTTGCGCAAATCACTGGCTAACTCGGAGGGTTTAATGAGCAAACTTTTTGAATCAACATTGCTGCGAATGGAGGCCCTCAGTAATAGCTTCGAGCGAGCAGTCAAAAGTATGTCAGACGCCGTCACTGATTCGATGTGTCAACTTCACAATACTATGTCCACATTGTCCACCACAGTGTCTCTGAGTGTCAGAAACAGGTATTGAAGCTCAACGAGACACCAATGATTGAGCAGATGACCAAGGCTCTGTGGATAGTTGAACGAGAGCGTAAAGATGAGGAACGCCGAGCCAATAACGTGATCATTTCTGGTCTTGTGGAGCAATCAGGAATCAATGACAGAGATATTGTGTTGGATCTCTGTGAGAAACGTCTGGCGATCAAACCACAGGTCGTTAAAACACGTCGTATTGGCAGCTCAAAACTATGTGTTACCTTGTCCGGACCATCGGCAGTAGGATCCTACATTCAAAGCCTGATACGAGGAATATTTTTATAAACTTTGATTTGTCAAAAAGACAGGCAGAACAAGCTTACATCAAGCGCCAGGCACGACGCCTTGCCAAATCAGCCGGTCACAAATCGAAAGAGGAAGAGACTGACAAAGAACAGCCCTTTCGTTAAAATCAGGCCTCTTAGGTTGGCCTCAACTAACGTCAGAAGCTTACAAAATAAAAAGAATGACTTAATTTTATTTTTATCGGATTATGATTCGGATATTTTTTCAGTTGTTGAGACATGACTCTCTCCAGATGATTGTGACAGTTTGTTTTTACCTCCCGGATACGTTTTTGTTAGAAAAGATCATGGATCACGTGGTGGAGGCGTGGGCTTTATCATTAAAAACTCAATATCTTTCAAAGAGGTCATAATACCAACTAAATACTCGCACATCGAAATAGTATCTATTGATATTACCATATCATCTACGCATCACCGCTTCATATCCTACTATCGCCCTGGTGGTTTTGAAAGGTCGGCTGATGATTATGCCACTGATAGCATACAATGCATTAGAGAGCTGTGTAGAGGTCATGTCAACTGTTTGTTAGGTGACTTCAATCTCCCACCCATCAACTGGACCAATTATTCTTCACCAAATAACTCAATTTATAATTCATTTATTCAACTTTTCAATGAACTTGGTCTGTAACAACTGGTTGATCAGCCCACTCGAGGTCAAAATGTCCTGGTACTTTCTGATTATTCCAGTTTGCTGAGTTGGAGATTATCAGTCCGCTTGCCTCAAGTGATCACAACATCATCACTTTTTCAAATCAACTGTTTCCTCAACAACCCACCAGACGTCAACTCATTCATCAAAACGTACTCCTATGATTTTAACAGTGCTAATTATAATGATATAAATAATTATTTGTCTAATATAAATTGGAATTATCATTTTCAGCCCTGTTTTAATGTCAATATGTGTTGTGACACATTCGAACAAATAATCAACCACGCAATATCGATTTTTGTTCCCAAAATTGGACGTAGTCAATCACCGTCTCAACATCAAGCTCCTAGGGCACTTCGTTTATTATACAAAACTAAACTTTATTTTTGGAGGAAATGGAGAACAAGTTCAAATCCAGCTGATAAAGAACAATATTTGAGGATTTCCTGTTACTGCTCCAACTTAGCCAATCTACACCACAAAAATAAAGAAAACCAATTGTTGTCTAAAGCGAATGTTAAAATTTTTTATCGCTACGTCAATAACAAACTGTTTTCTAAACCCTTGATAGCCAGCCTCCAAATTAACAATAATAATAACAACAATACAAATAGTAATATCAGCAATAATAATAATAATTTTGTTGTTGTTAATAACAGTAATAATAGTGATGGTAATAATAATGATAGTGGGGAGAATAATAATATTAATAATAAAAATAATGATAGTAATAATAGTGATAATAATAATGGTGATGTCAATAGTAATAAAAATAGTAATAATAATGGTAATTATGATAATGTTAATGGTAATGATAATTATATTGATGGTAACAATAATATTGGTAATGGTAATAATAATGATAATAAAAATGATAGTGGTGGTGATAATAATGATGGTGATAGTAATAACAATGCTAATAATAATGATAATAGTAATTTTAGTAATGATAATCGTAATTGTTTTAGTAATAATAATTTATTAATAATTATTAATAAAAATAGTAATAATAATGATAATTATGATAATGTTAATAACGGTAATAATAATGGTAATGATAATTATATTGATAGTAATAATAATATTGGTAATGGCAATGGTACTGGTAATAATAATGAAAATAAAAATGAAAGTGGTGGTGATAATAATGATGGTGATAGTAATAATAATGCTAATAATAATGGTAATAGTAATTTTAGCAATGATAATCGTAATGGTTTTAGTAATAACAATAATAATGATAGCAATAATAATAATAATGATAATAACAATAGTAATGATAACGGCAACAACATTAATCATAATAGTGATAATAATAATGGTAGTGGTAATAGTAATGATAACAATAGTTATAATATTAATAATGATGATAGCAATAATGGTAATAATAATGGTTGCAATAATGATAACAATAATGGTGGTGATGATAATAATGGTGGTAATAATAATGATAGTGGTAATGAAAATGATAATTAGAGTAATAATGGTGATAATATTAGTAATGATAATAATAATGGTAATAATAATGGCAAAAATAATGGTGAAAATAATTGTAACGATAATGAAAATAATAATAGTAATAAAAATACTGATAGTAATGTTGATAGTAATGGTGATGTTAGTAGTGGTGGTGTTAATAGTAGTAGTGGTGGTGATTATAATAGTAATTGTAATAACAATAGTAATAATAACGATGGTATTAGTAATGGTGTCTATAGTAGTTATAATAATAATAATGGTATTAGTATTGACAATAATAGTAGTAAAAATATTAATAATGTCGATGATAATAATAATAATGGTAATGATAACAACAATAATATTGATAGTAATAATGATAATAACAGAGTTGATAATAATTATAAGTATAATATTAACATTAATAATAATAATGAATACAGGGATGTAGGTATTGGTATTGATATTTTTAAGGATAGAATTAGTTATAATAAAATTGTTGCTAATGGTAGTGATAATAATAATGGTAGCATTAATAATAGTTACAACAATAACAACAATAACTGTTTAATAATTAACAACAATATTAATGATGGTATTAGCAATGTAACTACTGATCCTGTTGTGATGGCAAATATGTTCAATGAGTATTTTTCCTCCGTTTTCACCATCGATGATAAAAGCAATTGTTCTCTATCAAATCGTACAACAGAATCATTGAATGACATTTGCTTCACTCCACAGATTGTGTATCTCACTCTGCGCAAATTAAAAAATACAACATCAGTGGGCCCGGATGGAATACCAAACAGGTTTCTCAAAATGTGTGCTTCAAGTCTGGCTCCAATCCATAAAAAGGGTCCAACCAATTACCCCAGCAATTATAGACCAATATCACTACCTGCTCATCTTGTCGGTTTATGGAAAAAATAGTCAAGAACAATATAATATCTTATTTGTTAAATAACAATTTAATATCCAAATTTCAGCACGGTTTAACCTCCTCAGATTTCTAAGCGATCTGTTATTAATTCGCCAAAGAAAGGAAAGATGTGACACGGTCAATCTCGACTTTCAAAAGGCCTTCGACTCAGTCTCACACACAAAGCTAATCTGTAAGCTAAAAGCGTATGGCATCGGCGGAAATTTGCTCGTATGGTTAACAGATTTTCTATATAACCGTTCACAGTTAGTCAAGATTCAAAATAAACTGTCCAGTCTAGTTGCAGTAACAAGTGGGGTACCACAAGGCAGCGTTCTGGGACCCACCCTGTTTCTCATCTTCATCAATGATATTGAAGACTGCCTTTCATCTCAACATGTCTCTATGCTGCTCTTTGCTGATGATATCAAATTGTATGCCGGTTCATCAAATTCATTCCAACTGCAACAGGTCCTTAACGATATTAACAAGATGGCAACTACCGCTTTCTCCTAACAAATGTTCTCTTTGCTCATTTCTACCATGTTCAAAAAATGTTACTGCCATAAATCAGTATGTGATTGATAATCACATTCTGACACCTGTCGAATATTTTAAAGATCTAGGTGTAATATTTGATAATAAACTATGTTTTAAACATCATATTAACAACATTGCGCATAGATCTTCTACCCGTGCTCGTCTTATTATTAAATGCTTTACATCCAAGGATAATGATTCGATCAACAAGGCTTTTTGCACTTATGTCCGTCCTCTACAGGAATATAACTCAACTGTCTGGTGTCCTCAATATAAATATCAAATTATTAATGTCGAAAAAGTTCACTAAGGCCATTGCTTCAATCTACCATCTTCCGTATCTGTCTCGTTTACACTTTGTCAAAATACAAACATTGGAACAACGCCGATTGATTTATGTTTGTTATACAAGATACTTAACAATCTCACTGTTCAACATTTGAAAGATAATTTTGTTCCATATCATTATTTGTCAACTCGTGGTCATGGCAAGAGACTTCGTGAATGCAACTCAAGCGATAATACTACCAAATATTTCTTCTTCAACAGAGTAGTTCGAGTGTGGAATGCACTACCGGATGAAGTTGTCTCATCTCCAACTTATGATGTTTTTAGACGCAAACTACTCTCTGTTGACTTGAAGCGTTTTTTAACAATTGATCAATGAATTAATTTTTTGATTTTTGTTTTCATATAACAATCAATTATTGATGGAATATATTATGTATTTTGTTTAACAATGGTTTTTTTATACATTATCTGATGTTCGTATGTATTAATATTTCAAAAAATACCGATCGTTTTAAAAATTACTAATTTTTCGATCTATGTATTAATGACAATGTCGGGTATAACTATGCAACTTTCGGTTTAATGTTTTCTTTTTTTGGTATTTTTTTTTTGTGTTGACTGTTTTATCTGTCTGCCAATTGCCTAGCTTTATAACATTTCTTTTTTCTTCCTGATTTGGTAACTGGTCCGTTGGGCCCTCTGGTCAGTTGTGTTAAATAAAAATTATATATATATATATATATATATATATATATGCAATTATTGATAAATATTATATATATATATATATATACATGATATATATACATTTAATGATATATATATATATATATATATATATATATATCATTAAATCCAACATATCGATCTGCGACAACAATAATCGACTTAAATTAATAATATACTACAACACCAATCGTACGTCCAACCTCATTTTAAAAAACAGCAATAACCGACCTTCTTCTACATTAGAGAAGACGAACCTCGTGTACCAATTCATATGTCCTATGCCACACAGTGTTGTGGAAAGTTACATTGGTCACACGCGAACTAGCCTCTCTCGTAGACCACACACGTACAAGACGGTGCCATTAAAAATCACATGGAAAGTGAACACCGTAGGCCTCTCACTAGAGCTATACTAGACCCAAATACGACAATACTCGAGTTTGAAAACAATCCAGTCCGTCTCAAAATCAAAGAGGCCTTGTATTACGCAAACCTTCAATCAATAAA